TTTTTCATCAACTCTTACTGTCTTTTTTAACATCTGTTCTGCATGCTGGGTTAAAGATGTCTTTAATTCACGTGATGCCATATATTTAAAATTTAACAGTCTTACTATGCCATTTTGATAACCAGCTACTAACCACAAATAACTCCATGCGTTTGGGTTCCATGATATCTACAATTTATCGTTAATATTAACATTACATAAAACAATAACATTGAGACAAATAAAATTAATCCTTACCCTATTTACCGACATAAATGGGTATTGTTCAATTTGAACTGCAGTTACCTTATCCTGTATTGACTGAGATGGCACAGTACGTTCAGAATCCTTTTATCATAATGTAAAGTACAATTACTGCATTATAAAATTTTTAAGAAAATTTTACAATTGAGACAAACTAAAAAAATCTAACTTACTTGTAGTTTATCGTAAAATGTAATACCGAAACGATCTTTGCATACATTATAAGTGTGTGGCATATAGTTATAATCTTTAGGATTTTTATCTTCCATAGATTCATTTCCAGTTTTTGTTAGATCCACTACTTTAACGTGTGAACTTAACTGAAAACAGGATACAGATTTAGCTGACCCATTGAGAGTTTAAAAGTAGTATATTTATCAGAGGACTACCTTTTTTTTCTTCTGGGAAATTTTCTCATTATCCTTAGCACATATAACTTGGTGAAGAAAAATAGTCACTATCTCTCCTGCTAGCGTACCATGCGCAATGCTATTGCCGTAATCAGAAACTGATAAAGCCTAATAAATGGTTAAACAATAATTATGCAGTGTTTTAATATAAAAAATTACTTGACATTTACTTACATAAGTAGGAGAATTGGTTGGCAAAATAGGGTGGAGTTTGAATTCCATATCTCGTATCGGAATTATGTATGAATTTGTATGTTTATATCTACAACACAATAGATTATATAATAATATTATTAATGAATTTTATTCTATAAAGAAAGTAACATTTCTGATCTTGATATTTACCCAAGTGCATCATCAAAACTAATGACAGAACATGGCCAGTGTGTCATCCATACACCATCAACTATAATACCTTTTTGTGTGGAAGATTGAGGAGTACTTACATCATCTAAATTCCAGAATTTATACATTCTATCTATGCTACCCGAAGCTAGGAAACGTGCTTCATTGTATGGAACCAACGCTATCACTACACAAATAATCTTTCGATTAAAGACTTTATTCCATATTTTATATTCTTTATCAAAAGAAATGAAAATACTTACTACTTATAGCATTACCATGAGCAAAAAAATGCTGAAATGCATTTATTAAGTACGTGTTTTGTCTCTTTTGCATTGATACTGGTGAATCACATGTAAGATCCCATAATGCAATGTAACCATTTGAAAATCCAGCAGCAATTGTGCTAAAAGTAAACATACAAGTTTGCTACTATAAAATTGTACGAGGAACAGAGAAATATAGTTAGAAAATCTTACTTATGTTTATGTTCTTTGCTCCACGATAATTTAGTGCATTGCCATGTTTGTTTATTGCTATCNTTTTTCATCAACTCTTACTGTCTTTTTTAACATCTGTTCTGCATGCTGGGTTAAAGATGTCTTTAATTCACGTGATGCCATATATTTAAAATTTAACAGTCTTACTATGCCATTTTGATAACCAGCTACTAACCACAAATAACTCCATGCGTTTGGGTTCCATGATATCTACAATTTATCGTTAATATTAACATTACATAAAACAATAACATTGAGACAAATAAAATTAATCCTTACCCTATTTACCGACATAAATGGGTATTGTTCAATTTGAACTGCAGTTACCTTATCCTGTATTGACTGAGATGGCACAGTACGTTCAGAATCCTTTTATCATAATGTAAAGTACAATTACTGCATTATAAAATTTTTAAGAAAATTTTACAATTGAGACAAACTAAAAAAATCTAACTTACTTGTAGTTTATCGTAAAATGTAATACCGAAACGATCTTTGCATACATTATAAGTGTGTGGCATATAGTTATAATCTTTAGGATTTTTATCTTCCATAGATTCATTTCCAGTTTTTGTTAGATCCACTACTTTAACGTGTGAACTTAACTGAAAACAGGATACAGATTTAGCTGACCCATTGAGAGTTTAAAAGTAGTATATTTATCAGAGGACTACCTTTTTTTTCTTCTGGGAAATTTTCTCATTATCCTTAGCACATATAACTTGGTGAAGAAAAATAGTCACTATCTCTCCTGCTAGCGTACCATGCGCAATGCTATTGCCGTAATCAGAAACTGATAAAGCCTAATAAATGGTTAAACAATAATTATGCAGTGTTTTAATATAAAAAATTACTTGACATTTACTTACATAAGTAGGAGAATTGGTTGGCAAAATAGGGTGGAGTTTGAATTCCATATCTCGTATCGGAATTATGTATGAATTTGTATGTTTATATCTACAACACAATAGATTATATAATAATATTATTAATGAATTTTATTCTATAAAGAAAGTAACATTTCTGATCTTGATATTTACCCAAGTGCATCATCAAAACTAATGACAGAACATGGCCAGTGTGTCATCCATACACCATCAACTATAATACCTTTTTGTGTGGAAGATTGAGGAGTACTTACATCATCTAAATTCCAGAATTTATACATTCTATCTATGCTACCCGAAGCTAGGAAACGTGCTTCATTGTATGGAACCAACGCTATCACTACACAAATAATCTTTCGATTAAAGACTTTATTCCATATTTTATATTCTTTATCAAAAGAAATGAAAATACTTACTACTTATAGCATTACCATGAGCAAAAAAATGCTGAAATGCATTTATTAAGTACGTGTTTTGTCTCTTTTGCATTGATACTGGTGAATCACATGTAAGATCCCATAATGCAATGTAACCATTTGAAAATCCAGCAGCAATTGTGCTAAAAGTAAACATACAAGTTTGCTACTATAAAATTGTACGAGGAACAGAGAAATATAGTTAGAAAATCTTACTTATGTTTATGTTCTTTGCTCCACGATAATTTAGTGCATTGCCATGTTTGTTTATTGCTATCATACATAGGTATATTTACAACTAATGTTATCACTGGCTCAGTTTGATATATGGGCCACCTGTAGCAAATATTATTAGCATATAAGTAACATATGTAGAAAGATACAACGAAGTTTATTAGTTAACTACATACGTATTTCCTTCAGTCTTTTGAAATCCAAGTTCTTCTGGAAAGGGTAACGAATAAATGTGTACACTACCATCTGAACAAGCCGCTGCAAGCATACCCATTCGTTTAAGAGGATGTGATATTTCCTGCTTAGTTTCATAATTATTTAGACTCTCATCTTGATAGCACCCAGATGGGCACCATTCTAAACACCATACAGTACCAGCTGTATGGGCAAGAGCATATGATAACGTAGGTATTCTTTCATTATCAGTCCTAAAAGTTTTAAAGATTCAAAATATTAAATATAACCACATATTGGTTTTCTTATAATATTATTACCAAACACTGAATTATTATACATTTTTAGAGTATGAAAATCTTCAAAATTTTGGAAAATATCTATCTCGACACATTAATATGATTTCATTCTATTTTTAATTTGCCAACAATTTTTGTATGAAAATATAAATGTGCCTCAAGATCTATAATTGAATTATTACTTACTCATGATTCAAAGATCCCACATTCCAAATTTGTATTATATTAGCTTCACTATATGCTCTTCCTACAGCATATTCACTTTCCATAGATGGATGAGTACTGACAGCGAGATATTGGGTCGGTTTTTTCGAGTACATTGGCGACGGAATAGGCAACCACGCCAATGCCCATATTGGTCCACCAACAAAAAACGTAGGAATTCCTAAAAAAAATAAAAAATGTGTATACTCTTTCATAACACTGTAATACTCTATCATGAACAATTACCTTTATCACAACCACCTTCAAATCTTTGCCACTGTTTCCACGAAATTTCTGATTGAGATAAGTTTTCAGGTGTTTTTTCTGTCCTTGTTCTCATAGAAACTTCCACCTGCGGTAAATGCTTAGTAGCATCAGTATTCTTTAACAGAGTAAATGTATTAGGTGTATAATTATGGTATAACTGAAGCTCATAATTTTTTTGTTCACTGTAAAAAGAATGATATGATTTATCAAATTTTTTCATTTATTAAATTTGTGTTATAAGTTGTCATGAGAAGTATAGATATGTACAATTCCATAGTCCAACGTATAGCAGGTAAGAACGGTTCTGTCCAATGGAGTTTTTGTGTGTGATGTTTATCCATGATCATGTCAGATAATTCTAAAAACAGGAATTATCAATGAGACTTGAATTACTTATGTATCTTTTGCATAGTAGAATTAAATCATACTTTCGTTTATATGACTTTCTCCTTCAAAGTCCGAATATTTGTCATCGTCATCAATTGCTCCTCCGTGTGTTTCCGTAATATGTGTTACCATCTCTTCTTTGGTATTAGTTGAAGATTTGCATATCTTACATAAATAACACTGTAATAAAGAAAATACAATTTACTAGCTTGAAGATACACTAGACAAATAACATATATCAGTAGTACTATTGTACTGTTGGTACCTCTTGAGGAACGAAATTACATGTAGAATAATGTGTTTTCATATCCTCTAGTGACGAAGTTGTAAAATTACAACCAAGTTGATGGCAAGCTAATGTTTTCCCAGAGTTTAACTCCTTACGCCACTTACCCTTCCATACACTTGGTACATGTTTTTTCTGTTCAGGTGGTTTTATTAAATTTTTCTATAAGATTTAATTAAAAAGTGTTCATTAAATATTTTAATACATTTATTCTTGTTTAATAAAAGCTTCTACGAAACAAAAACCCACCAGTGCAGAAGAGTCAAGTTTTATCTTTTTTTCAGCAGGCGCATCTTTTACGAGTTCAGTGAATTCCGAAATTTTTGATGCTGCTCTGAAATTAAAATGTTACTGTAGAGAGATTTCCTTTTAATTTAATGGAAATTATTCAAGACTTACTTTTCTGCTGCTTTGCGTTTAACTTTTTCTTTACTTGATGAAAAGATTTGCAATACTTCCTTTTTCTTCTGTTCAACTTGTTTATGTGTTCGCACATGTATCTCCATAGAAGATGGCATCATAACAGCACTGCAAATTGGACATGTCATCATCAGAGCTTCTTTCTCCTAAAATACAAAATTATTAAATGCTTCCACACTAATATTTTTGGTTTCTTAGATCAGTAAATATTTGAATTACATACTTCATCAGATTTCCCACAAAATTGTACATGAGACAGGAAACCATTCACACTTCGTTTAAGAGCACCACATTTCTCACAATTTAACTTGCCTTTTCTTTTCTTGATGGTAACATTTAATATTTTTTTACATAACTTTTCATCACTGAAATCCTAAAGTATCATATTTGTTAGTAAATAAAATACAAAGTAAAGAGAATTCTTATCAGAGTACTATACTTACTAAAGGTTCTTCACCTTGTATCCAACACATATCGTTATGTTTGAGCAAACTGTGCGAATGCCATTGTTTTTTTAACATTATTGCGTGACATTTAGCACACTCTATCTAAATTACAAGTGTGTAAGTAGAAGCAAATAAATGAAAAAATAATTAAGTAAATAAACTTTCCAAGATACTTACTTTTAATGTATCAGAAGTATCCATTGCTTTGGAACTTTCTGGTTTTGAGTCCTCCACAGATATTGGTCCCTTTAATTTCGGTATGTACTCGTTATCTAATGCAGAATGGGATTTGCCTTTACCTTTATCTTTGCTTGAATTTGACCGTCTACCCCTTTTTCTAAAAGGAGAGGAACTTAATGGGTTACTTTCAGCATTACTATCATCATTTAAGCCATTGTTACTTGTAATATTGTATGACTTTTCATTATGTCCTTTATTATGCACAAATGTTTCTGCAATGGAATCATTATCTATCTGCTGTATCAAAGAAGTTTTTCTGGGCCTTCCCCTTTTCCTCACTGGTGTTGTAACTGAGGAAGATTCACTGCTTAAATTTTTGTCTATTAGAATCGAACTTCCATCATTTGAATGTTTACTGTAACCTAGTTTTAAATTTGCATTTTCATGTATGGAAGTGTTTATTGATACCATAGATATTTCACTATTAGATCTTTGAGGACTCTTAAGACGATATTTGAGATCTTCTAAAATTTCAGTACTTCTACAAGAGTCGCTGAATTCGTCTTTAGAATAATCTCCAATATTTTTAATACTAGTATGATGTCCAGAAACGTTGCTAGAATATAAAGGCAGTGATTTCCTGGTCAAAACTGGTGTGGTAGAATTACTTATATTTTCATTATGATTACTTGCAACTGTGGTACTTGTTTCAGGTGTAGTTGATAAAATATTAACACTTGTTTTCTTTTTAATTTCTTTTTTGTATGATGTAACATAATCATCAAAGTTAGTTAACTTACGAATTCGTTTAGATCTACCAAATATATTTTCATTAGTTTCATAAGTACCATCTATTTCTCTTTGACTTTCATTTAAACTCTTTTCATTACTGTATTGATCAGATACTTTGTGTAGTTCTTGAGGCTTTGGTATATCATTTGAGGTAGTTTGGACATTTTCTACGTTGCCTACTTTATTAATACTTTCTTTCTTCTTTTTCATAACATAAGAACTATTTTTCACCTGTTTCCTATGTTCTACTTTAGAGTGCAATTTTTCATTGTCACTATTAACTGT